AGAGTGATCTTTTAAAAAAGACAAATTGAATGATGTTATTTTTCTTTTAAATATAGACTTACTTTTTGGGAATAGAATTAAAGAAATAAAGTACCTACTATAAGTGATACATGTTCTTTACCCTCTCTAACTCTCCAGTTTTGTCAAATAATGATATTCTAGTCACAGTGGTCTTCTCAAAATTTGCTGTATTTGCCAATTTTTCTGTTTTTTATAAATTTTCACATCTGAACCCTTCCCTTGAGATGCTGTTGGCTTCAATTTTACTCATTGCTATTCAATTTTAGAAGTTTCAGCTTAACTTCATCATAGCTTAGTTTAAGCCTTCAGTTCAAATTATGGTGCTCTCTTTTTAAGAATATTGCTTCTTATTCTTTATCACTATATTATACTTACTATTATGATTTGTAATTAAATATAGTGCTGTTGTTCATTCGCTAAGTGGTATGTGACCCTTTGCAACCCTACCGACTGCAGCATACCAGGTTCCTCTGTCCTCCACTTTCTCCTGGAGTTTGCTCAGATTCGTGTTCATTGGTTGGTGATGCTATCTATCCATCTCATCCCCTGCTTCCCCTTCTTTTACCTTCAGTCTTTCCCACCATCAGGGGTTTTTCCAATGTATCAACTCTTCACATCAGGTAATTAAATACATTATTTATTTCTTTGTTTTTTTCCTATTTCCTAAATAGAGTGTGCTATCAATGAAAGGAGAAAGCATGCCTATTTTTATGTCTGTTTGCCTAATATCTAGGGTATTTCTGACACAGAGTAGTTCTCCAATAAATAGTTATTAACAAATAATATTAATTCTTATTTTCACATGAAACTATGTTTTAGGTAAATGAAATTATAGAAGAGTTCTTCAATACTCCATTCAGATGAAACATAACTTTCTTAAGTCTGCATTTCAAAAGTAAGCATTTCATACAGCTCAAAGATTTTGAAAGTAGAAAAAAATTATATGAGGCTAGGGAGGAATTTACTGTCTTATATTTGATATATGAGATATATATTGTGTGATATATATTGTGTGGCAAATCGTTAAAAGCTGAGATTCAATCCCTTTCTTTACATCCCAAGATAGAACTTGGCTAAATTTGAGCTTTCACATTCAGGATTGCATCTGTTTCCATAACGCTTTCTTCTTATAGGAAATTTTATCTTCAGATCCAAGTGCTAAGTATTTCTGTGTCTGAGGTACATAACCATCTCCTTCTGCCTTTTCCATAACCTCACAGCTGTAACCATGGACACTGAGGGCTGTAGCATGACATCTGCTTCCCCTTCTTTTACCTTCAGTCTTTCCCACCATCAGGGGTTTTTCCAATGTATCAACTCTTCACATCAGGTAATTAAATACATTATTTATTTCTTTGTTTTTTTCCTATTTCCTAAATAGAGTGTGCTATCAATGAAAGGAGAAAGCATGCCTATTTTTATGTCTGTTTGCCTAATATCTAGGGTATTTCTGACACAGAGTAGTTCTCCAATAAATAGTTATTAACAAATAATATTAATTCTTATTTTCACATGAAACTATGTTTTAGGTAAATGAAATTATAGAAGAGTTCTTCAATACTCCATTCAGATGAAACATAACTTTCTTAAGTCTGCATTTCAAAAGTAAGCATTTCATACAGCTCAAAGATTTTGAAAGTAGAAAAATTTATATGAGGCTAGGGAGGAATTTACTGTCTTATATTTGATATATGAGATATATAGTGTGTGATATATATTGTGTGGCAAATCGTTAAAAGCTGAGATTCAATCCCTTTCTTTACATCCCAAGATAGAACTTGGCTAAATTTGAGCTTTCACATTCAGGATTGCATCTGTTTCCATAACGCTTTCTTCTTATAGGAAATTTTATCTTCAGATCCAAGTGTTAAGTATTTCTGTGTCTGAGGTACATAACCATCTCCTTCTGCCTTTTCCATAACCTCACAGCTGTAACCATGGACACTGAGGGCTGTAGCATGACAGAGCCCTGGTCATCTTCTTTCAGTTACCATATTACTGGAAAGAAAAAGAAGCTCATGTTTTCTCAGTGTGAAATTAGGCAGCACAAAGTGAAGCCTTCAGCAGTATATGCTAATAAAGGAAGGAGAGTTAAGTGGAGTTGATGTGCATCTAGTTCTTGTAGGATGTTGTACAGAGATGTCATGTTCAGCACTCTCAAAGAGAGTCTGTCATTCGGGTTTTTCTTTACTAATCTTCTCAGCAAAAGTTATTTTTAACACAAAAAGGATAATGAAGCTACAAAAATGTCCTCAGAGGTGTTAGGACTTTGTAATCACCATGATTATTTCCACATGTTCCTGAAATATGAACCACAATTTCTAGCCTCTGGACCTTCTAAAATAATGGTTCACAACTAGCACAGTTTTGCTATGAAGAGACATTTGACAATATCTGGAAACCTGGGAGATGAGGTGTATTGCTGATATCTACTGCAGATGAGGTGTATTGCTGATATCTACTAACAACCAGGGATGCTCCTAACCATCCTATAGGATATACTCTTCCCTACAGACTATAGCCCCCTACAAAAATAGGTTATCCAGCCAAAACATTAGTAGTGCCAAGGACCAGAAATGCTAATCTGAATGTAATAGTCAAACATGAATAATTAACCCCCATGGTTACTCAGATTGCCTTGAGGAAAAGACTCCCCAGCACCCAGGAATAATCCGATATCTGAGAAATCCTGCAGATAGGGACCCAGTGGAAGACTGGTAGAAACCTTTGGAAAATCAAAATATTTCACTTAAAATGTATTTTAAAAATAATTTTTATTGCAAGTTGAAAGCAACAAAATCATATGGGAATGCATGTAATCTTTATCAGGTGACAATACATATATTTTTTAAAATTATTCTTTTCTTTTTCTGTTGTTATTGTTTTGCTTTTCTCTTAGACATTGCCACTTGTGAGAAGTTTATAGAAAAATCGCAAGGGATGGTACACTGTGTAAAATTAAAGGGGCTAAAAATATCATTATTTCCTAGATGTAGAATAGTGAGAATTAGAGGGACTATACCCTTATGGTATCGGAGTTAAATAAATTCATCTCATGAGTATAATTTTCAAATAGATTGACTGCTAGTCTCTACAGCAGGACATCGTATTTACTGGGGCCCTTTCATTAGTATAGCCCCATAGAAATGATCTCATAGGCATAAGGCCTCAGGTAAGTTGGAAATCTGCTGATTTCTAGACTTCTATCCAATTCTAATGTGCAAAATGTAAATGCCATATCGCATCAAATCAAAGATCAAAGATAGCATTGATTATAACCTGCATCCCACTTTCAGAGATATTAAAATGTGAAGAAAGTACATCTGAGAACACATACGACACAGTATTATTTAAATATGGAAGTTACTTCTGGTCATTTTGGCCAAGGACATTTTCATAAATAAGAGAGTCCTATAAATCTTAAGTTCATTAATGTCAAGAGACTTGGAAATAAATGCCTCCGTTTTTTTTGCACACATTTAGAAAAGATTTTCTTCACATTGTTCTTTCACCTTTTTTATCTGTTTCCCCCCACACACATACAGTTTCTATTTCTGTATGACTGTTGCTCAGATTTTTCCCTGATGTTCTTAATTTTCAGTTGGAAATGTTTTCCTTCAGTTTCCTAGTTTATATCTCAAACTTTGGCAAATTGTTGAACACAGAAACTGTGCAGAGATTCTCATTATAAGCACGTGTTAGAGGGCCTATTGAAAGCATGCATATTTAAACTACATGTTGAATTTTGTGGCATTAGTTTCTTCAGATGCTCTTTGTTAAATGCCTACTTTACTCTAGCCATGTTACTACACGGTTATGAAGAAATGATTGACACCATGAAAAGATCTTGTGTAACACATTTTTACTGAGTATAATCAACCCAGTTAATTTAACTGTAGAGTAAGCTCTGACAGTTGGTTTTTCTTTATGTAATGCCAGTGCCTGACCGTGACCTTTGTTTGCCAAGAGGTATTTTCAAAGAAGGATGTCCCTAATTGGCACATTTGCCACATAACTAGAAAAAGAGCCAGGTCAAACCCCTACCCCCACCTCCCTACCCCCATCTGGCGCCTCTGTTTTAGAAATCTTAGCTGATTTTCATAACTGTCCATTTTGAGTCCTTTTTTTTTTTTCTTTTCCAGCAATTTAATATCTGTTCTCTATGTTTTAAATTTATATAAAAAAAAAAAAGTGATTCTGCAAATTTTTAGGCCAATCCCCAACCCCAATAAAAGCAAAACTCCAGACCTGTGTCTCTCGCTCCGCCCCCCTCCCCGGTGCCCTCACTGTGTGGCCCCAGGTATACTTTACAATACCGAGAGCTTGTAATAAAATTTTTATTTTTTTCCGAAGTTTCCTATTGCTGAGAACATCTTGCAATCATCATAAGAACCACAAGAGCCAGTCCAGCCACAAATGTTGGTTATAGGTAGGCTGAGATAATCACAACATAATAATTGGATGCATTATTATTTCTTAGTAATTTGAAATCCTACATATACCATATATCAAACATGTGTAATATATCTGTATATGTGCTTCTATGTGTCTGTGCATGAGCTTCCCCAGTGTGAGAGCTTCTGAAACATACAGGCCTGAATTCTTTCTCCTTTAACTTTTCTTAGATCATTGCCATTCTTAAAGTATATCAGAATTTTTAAAAATACACATGTAAATAGTTCACAATACAAATAAACTAGAAAGATATTGTTGCAACAAAAGTAAAAAAAATTCAATAAATTTCAATATCATGATTTTAAAAGATTTTTAAAAGATAAGGAGTAGAAGATAGCTGATCTACTGTTAATAATTAAAAATTAAACCCCTCTCTCAAAATAAATAGTAAATCTAAAAGTCAATGACAAATATTTAAGCATCTCATCAAAAGTGAAGAACAGGCCAAGATATCCCATTTCATGATCTATATTCAATTTGGATTCAGGTCTTAGAACACGGAAGTTAATGAGAAAATAACCAACATGGAAGGTAGAACAGGCATATAGGAATTCCTGAAAATAATCCAGAATTTTAAAAAAAGGATAAATAAATAGAAGAGTGAATAAATGTAGCATAATTCAAAAGGAAAATAATAATACACTTTGAAATGTAAGACTAGCCAATTGATTTTGATACAATAGAAATGCTAGTCAACCTAATTGAACATAGACAATTTTCATCAATCACATTTACTTGATTATTATCTTTAGACAAAATTAATCACAAGCAAATCCAACATGATGGACAGGTTTTCTTCCATCTCCCAAAATCATGTTTTAGGAGACTAGAGCTGCATTTCTCAAAGTGTGGTCCTTGGACCACCGTAGAAAGCATCACCTAGGAGTTGGTTAAATGTACAGAAACTTATGATTCACTCAAAATATATTGAATCAAAATATTCATTTTAACAAAATCTTCAGGTGATTGATGTTTATTAAAGTTTAAGAGGCACTTTAGTAAAGCACTTCTTTATTGACAGAAGTGTGAGAATTTAGTGTGATTGTGTGTTAGTAGGGTTTGAAGGCTTGCAAGGATTTTACACAAGAAGTAGAGAACCACTGAGAATTCATTTCTCTCTAATTTCCACATTTCTAATTATGTCATAAGGTTATGATATTTGAGAAGGTGGATATGATTTATACAGCAAAGACAGGCTGACTACACTTGATTGCTGGCCTGTGTTTTACTCATAATTGTTCCAAAGAGAATCCCTTGTATCTGCCTACAGGTAAGTATAGTATAAATCTACACAGCATAACATGACTAACTCCACCAACTAAATAAATAGCATTGAGTAAGAAACTGAAGAGGCAAGCAGTAAAGTGGGAGAACATATATGCTATACACCACCAGCAAAGGGCTTCGCCTATATTTATTTAAACACTTTAGCAAATCAATTAGAGAAAGACAGGTAATCCAATAGAAAATGGACAAAAGGATTCAACAGATGCTTCAAAAAGAGGAATTACAAATAAGCAGTAAACATATTAATAGAGAAGTATAATTTCATGTTAGAAGAAAATTAATATACAAAATTGATAGTATGATCTCTTTCAGAACTTGAGATTCTAAATACCTAGTTAATTTGTCCCGAAATATCTTGGCAGATGAGCCAAGAGCAAGAGTTGATGAATGGTACTGGATTGTAATATGGCCTCCAAGATCTTATCATACTTAATGTCCCTAGTCTGAGCCTGTGTTATAAGCTGTTAGATTCATCTCCCTTGAGTCAACCCCTTAGATTTCCCATGAAGTATGGTGTTATTTATCAGGCACCTCTTGCTTGTAGTCAACCCCAAGGACCCTCTAGGCTTTATAAGACAGGGCTTACAAAGCGGAAAAGGGGAGTTTAAGGTTGCTTCTCAGCTTCTAATTTCACATTGATAAAAAATAGCCTCAAAGAAAGTAAGATGTAATTCTACTCATTCAGGATATTTGATATAATCTTCATCCCATTTTCTGTCTCTTTGTATTCTCAATAGATATGCTAGATGTTAAAAGCAAAGCAGGAGATGCCCATGGAAATTGAAAATCTTATAGAACAAGCAAGGGGAAATGGAATGTATGTGTTGATAGGGGTATGTGTTCAGAGATGTCTTAGAAATGCCCAGTCTGGATGGTATCTGTGAGAAGGGTGAAAGAGAAAATGTTAGTCGCTCAGTCATGTCCAACTCTTTCCAACTCCATGAGCTGTAACCTGCCAGGCTCCTCTGTCCTTGGAATTTTCCAGGCAAGATTACTGAAATGGGTAGCCATTTCCTCCTCCAGGGGATCTTTCATACCCAGGGATCAAACCCAGGTCTGCTACATTGCAGGCAGATTCTGAGCCACTGGGGAAGCCTGTATGTCTCAAAAACCACATAATTCTTTTCTTTTTTATGTCTCATAGGTAGAGTCATGACTTTAGACAAATTATTATACTTCTCTAAGACCTGTTTTATTAACTATAATGTGAATACAATAATCATATATAATCATAAATGAGAAAATATATATAAACCATTTAGCAGGGTGTCATATTACTATAAACCCACTCCAGTGTTCTTGCCTGGAGAATCCTGAGGACAGGGGAGCCTGGTGGGCTGCCGTCTATGGGGTTGCACAGAGTCGGACACGACTGAAGTGACTTAGCAGCAGCAGCATATTACTATCTAGGGGCTTCCCGGTGGCTCAGTGGTAAAGTATCCACCTTCCATGCAGGAGTCACAGGAGACATGAGTTCAATCCAGGGTCCAGAAGATTCCCAGGAGGAGGAAATGGCAACCCACTCCAGTATTCTTGCCAGGAAAATTGTGTGAATAGAGGAGCCTGGCAGGCTAAAGTCCATGGGCTCTTAAAGAGTTGGAAATGACTGAGCATGCACATAGGCATGCATGTTGTTGTATAAAATTTAAAATAAGAATAAATACATTAAAAATAATTAAATCTATGTGTGCTTATTCTATGCATTTAAATTAAATCTAACAGAGGATGAGATGGTTGGATGGCATCATTGACTCTATGGACATGGGTTTGAGTGGACTCTCGAGTTGGTGATGGACCGGGAGTCCTGGCATGCTGCAATTCATGGGGTCGCAAAGAGTCAGATATGACTGAGCAACTGAACTGAACTGAATAGTGACTATCTCTAAAAATAATGCAGTCTTCAAGCAGTAGTGATAAAAAGGCCAGAACGCAAATGGCCACAGTCTATTGACATAAGATAATTTTAGCCATATCTAGCATAGTTAGGCTTCCCTTGTGGCTCAGCTGGTAAAGAATCAGCCTGTGGAGCAGGATCAAACCTGGGTTTGATCCCTGGATTGGGAAGATCCCCTGGAGAAGAGAATGGCTACCCATTCCAGTCTTCTGGCCTGGAGAATTCCATGGACTGTACAGTCCATGAGTCGCAGACAGTCAGACATGACTGAGCAACTATTGCTTTTCACTTTCACAAAGAAGCTATTGTGTGTAAATGGGACTAGATTCTGTACCTTCAGAGAAAAAGAATGGACATTTTTAGAAAAATTTATCAGCTTGATTCAAGGAAGGAAAACTGAGTATTTAACTATATGAAGCAGAAAGTTTTAGGCCTACATTTTACAAAAAAAGGAATATCTTCTTTATTTAGGAAATTTCCATCTCCACTGAGGCAAGCACCTGGTTAAGTATCTTTTATACGTGTCACATCTCCTCTTAAAGACACCAACATTGAAGTTCTTAGATTCTTCCTTATCGGGATCCCTGGAGTGGAGAAGAGTCACATCTGGATATCCATCCCTTTCTCATCCATGTACTTTGTTTCTCTCCTGGGTAACTTCATCATCCTTTTCTTTATTAAGACAAAGCCAAGCCTCCATGAACCCATATACTATTTCCTTTCCACACTATCCATCTCTGACATAGGGTTGTCCCTGTCTTCCTTACCCACCACTTTGGGACCGTTCCTGTTTGGTGTCTGTGGAATTCATGCAGCTGCAAGCTTTGCCCAGGAGTTCTTTGTCCATCTATTCACAGTCACTGAAGCCTCTGTGCTATTGGTAATGGCATTTGACCAGTATGTGGCTATCCACAACCCTCTTAGACAATGCACAATCTTAACCAGCTCCCAAGTCACCAAAACAGTGGTCTTGCTGACTTCCCAAAATATTATGTTGATTCTTCTACTGCCCTTTCTGTTGCAAAAGCTGGCATACTGTCATCAAAATCTGCCCTTATACTCCTACTGTCTCCACCAGGGTGTCATGAAGCTGGCCTGCTCTGACAACAGAGTCAATATTGTCTATGGACTCTGTGCTGCCCTTTCTACTATTTTGGATTTGCTGTTTATTACTTTCTCCTTCATGATGATCTTAAAGACAGTACTGGGCATTGCAACCCCCAGAGAGCAGCTGAAGGCCCTCAACACCCACATCTCTCCTATCTGTGCTGTGCTTATCTTCTATGTGCCCACGCTGAGTGTGGCCATGCTCCACCAATTTGCCAGCGATGTGTCTCCTATGATCCACATTCTCATGGCTGTTTTCCTACTGGTGCCTCTCCTGATGAATCCCATTGTGTCCTGTCTGAAGACCCATCAAATCCGCAAAAAGGTTATGGGGAAATTTTGTTCAAAAAGAAGTTTATAAAAAAAAAAAGAGGTTTATCAATGCAATAAGAAAGGGAATAAATTTATAAGTGGTAAATAAGTAAACTGAATGTGTAGCCAGGGGAAAGCATGATCTAGAGGAATGGTCTTGTGTCCTATGGTCAGAACTCATAGAGTAAACGGCTTTAATACTGAGTATACGTAGTACCCTCAGTGTCCCTGAGATCTTGAGAAAATTACTTCCATTCTTTTTCTCAGATTGAACATCTAAAAATTCAAGCCTTCAATGATGACTGGAAGCCTCTACTTTTTGAATTTTAAAATGCATGCCACTAAAATAAGAGAACTTACCTATATCAACTCTTATGTTAAAAGAAAAAAATTTAGTTTCCATACTTTCACTTTCCTAGCTAATAAAAGTGTACTAGAGGAAAGATTGAGTGTTTCCTCCTTTTTTAGTTCATTATGATGCAGTTGATCTATCTAATTCCTGAACTCCAAAGCTCCGTATACACGTTCTCTGATTTAAGAATCTGTGTGCATGTATATTTAAATGCACGTGACTATTTTTTTTCTTTCTTAGTTTTTCTTTTCCTCTTTTCTTCCATCTATCAGACATGTGTAATTCACTCTAGTCCTTCAGGCAACTAGTATTAGTAGGTAAATGTGTTCCTGAAAAGACTGTACTACCTACATTTGAGTCGGGAAAATGCCATATGGAAATGTTGTGCTTGCTGAAGGATGTTTAACAACTCAGGAACTAACTGCCCATAGTTCACTCAGACCTTTAACAATGTTGGGAATCCTTTCTTTCATACAGTCATAGACTGACATGTATGTTGATGGGATTACCTCTATTGAACATGATTTGCATTTCTCAAATAACTATTTGCAATAGTCTCTTTTTTGGCATTTATGTAATATGTATGCATTTACCTTTTTAGTGCATGTTTTTCTAAATCATATTAATCACCTAAAACTTTATCAGAAAATTACCTCTAATTTTTTCTGCACATATTTTCTGTTAGTTTTTTAAATTTCTTGAAACATATTTTGTTTAATAACTAAAACATTGAGAGTTAATAATCAGACACTTTTGAGAATAAACAAAAATGGAATTGTATGTAGGTCAAATATACATATTTTGTATAGTTCATAATTTTATATACATACTTCATATGAAATCCCATACATAATATACTTTAAAATATATTAATTAGCAAATATTTTTAGAATATTGGTTGGCCAACCAAATCATTTTAAACAAAAATGATTTCAAACATGAAATTTTCTCTGAAAGTAAAGAAATCTCTATCCTTGTACAAGCTCTGTTTGCAAGCTTTGAAATAGACAGTGATTTATGCTGGCCAAAAGAAACCAAAAATAAAATTTTGATACTCTAACTTTTCAATGCTTTGGTTAAAGATGTCTAACCTACTTCAAACAAAATATATAAAAGTTGTTTAAAGGATGAGTTCTCTGGGAAGCAGATGCTAAGACAGAGTTAGTAAACAGAGTTTCAATGTGTTAAGGAGAGGGGCAAAAATTAGAATTGGGTAGGGGGAGCTATTAGACCATGTTTCACATATATTAACATTTTTGCCAGCCCTAATGGGAGCTCCAGAGCAAAGACTGTTGTATGGAGGAGTCCCTCATTCATCAGAAAGGGCCAAGTACCTGACCACCATTTACTCATTCATTATTGGATAACCAAAAGAAGATTGTGACTTCTGATGGAAATCAAGGATAGATCCTGATACATCACATGCTTCAGCTTGCAGCTAGACAACAAACTATTTCTTCAAGTGAGATTGAAAAAGTGTGTGTTTGCATCTGTTACACCACCATTCAGAAAACTAAGATCATGGCATCAGGCCCCATCACCTCATGGCAGATAGACGAGGAAACAATGGAAAAGGGAGAGACTTTATTTTCTTTGAATCCAAAATCACTGCAGATGGTGACTGCAGCCATGAAATTAAAAGACACTTGCTCCACAGCCACTGTGGAGAACAGTGTGGAGATTCCTTAAAAAACTGGAAATAGAACTGCCATATGACCCAGNAGCAGAGACATTACTTTGTCAACAAAGGTCTGTCTAGTCAAAGCTAAGGTTTCTCCAGTAGTCATGTATGGATGTGAGGGCTGATCTATAAGAAAGCTGAGTGCTGAGGAATTGGTGCTTTTGAACTGTGATGTTAGAGAAGACTCTTGAGAGTTGCTTGCAATGCAAGGAGAACAAACCAGTCCATCCTAAAGGAAATCAATCCTAAATAGTCATTGGAAAGACTGATGCTGAAGCTGAAACTCTAATACTGTGGCCACCTAATGCGAACTGACTCACTTGAAAAGACCCTGATGCTGGGAAAGATTGAAGGCAGGAGGAGAAGGGGACGACTGAGGATGAGATGGTTCGATGACATTGCCGATGCAATGGACATAGTCTAAGAAGGCTCTGGGAGTGGTCATAAACAGGGAAGCCTGGCATGCTGCAGTCCATGGGGTCACAAAGAGTCGGATGCGGCTGAGGAACTGAACTGAACTGAACACCAAATTAGTCTGGTTGACCAAACACTCCTTCAGAGGCTCAGCTAGCTTTAAAATCTGATTGAAAGTGATTAGTCAGTAAAAGAGAATGCTCATTATTCTTTCACTATAATGCTGAAGATTTTCTTTCTTTTTAAATTGAATATCAAATTTGTCTTAAAATTTTCCTAATTCTTAGTTATTCTAAATGTATATGTAAAAATAAAATAGGCTGGAAGAAGTGCCTGGATGTAGTCATGAATTATGTTTGCACCACAACTATCCCAAGAACATTGTGAACAGTTTCCTAATTTCACAAGAGCATTTTTTTTACCACACTGTTGTCCTGACAAATATGAACTTATATCTACATTTTGAAAAATGTATGTCTAATGTTGAGCTCCTTAACTGAATTCAAAATAACCGTTTCAGTAGGACCACATGTTTTACAGAATAAGATGTGAACCCAATACATGTTCAAAATCTTTGAGCCATGAATTGGAATAACATTATTTAAACAACTTATGTAACAGATTGATTTTTAGAGTGACTTTAAAATCATGGTGGCATAAGACATCTCTTATTTGTCCTCCCTCCAGTAACAACAACAAAAATTAACCACCCATCCATGAACAGCAAAGTGCTTCTGTGGAATCCAGTACTGCATTTCAAGGAACCTAGGAGGGTCACACACAGCCATGCATCCGTAATAGGCAGGCAGACCTTGCTATTGCGTGTGGTCTCCAAGACAGCTATGAACTAGTTCCAGGCTCTCTGGGCCCTGGTCCTTTAGCACTTGGAAATCACTGACTGAGGTAGACACGCCATGAATGAGAGAGCTTTGTGGAAGTCCAGATTTCCAGGAAAGTTCCAGCATGCCGTTGGAGCCAAAAATATATGCGTTTCAATGCCCTGGAGTGTGTGAGAACAGTTAGACTTCGCACCAGTCACCCCTTCCTAAGACAGCTAAATTTAGAGCGGAGTGAGACCTTCTCAGTCCCTTGATTCCCCCCGCAGGGGAAAGGGAGCATGGTTGAGTGAACACCCTGCTTCCCCAGCTCTGCAGGAAACTACAAAAGAGACTTATTTCTCTTGTAGCATCCAGAGTACCAAATCATAAGCTCATGACTGAAAAGAGGAAAGATATCAGGACAAGGGCAGATAAAATCCTCAGTGGTTAGAAAGGGCCGTGGTCCCTGATAACTATGTAGTGAGCTCCATCAGGAAGTCTGTCTATGAGCCAATGGGAAGATATCACCTGAAGATCTTCCCAACTGGCGAAAAAAAAGAAAAAAGAAAAATCAAGAGGTGGGAGTACAGGTTAAAACACTTTTGCACAACAAAATAAACAATCAACAAAATGAAAAGGCAGCCTATATAGTGGGAGAATATATTTGCAACACATATATCCAATAAGTGATAATCTCTAAAATATATAAGGAATGCACAACTCAATAATATTTATAAAACAATCAACCTGATTAAAAAATGAGCAGAGGAACTAAATAAATATTTCTCCCAGAAAATATGCAAGTGCCAGAGGGTACAGGAAAAAAATGTTCAACATCACTAAACATCAGGGAAATGCAAACCCAAATTGGTTGAGAAACAAAGATAATAACTATACATTAGGCCCATTTTTGGCAACCTAGAAGCACTCTACCAGTTGTTATAATAATGATGCTTACTGAGAATCCATTGTGTAAGCTATCCTGTTGAGGTCTTTCCTCCAGTTGTTTAAATCAGGCTGAAAGAAGCTGGTCAGTCATAATTAAGAAACCTATACTTTAAGACTGAAGACTGGGGAGTTCCCTGGTGGCTCAGTGGTAAAGAATCCAGCCGCCAATGTAAGGGACACAGACTGAAGCCCTGATCTGGGAAGATCCCACATGCCCTGGAGCCACTAAGCCTGTGTGCTGCAGCTGCTGAGCCTGTGCTTCAGAGCCAGCAGCCACAACTGCTGAGACCACACGCTGCAGCTACTCGAGTCTGAGTGCCTGGAGCTCATGCTCCGCAGCAGGAGAAGCCCGCCACCGCAACTAGAAAGTAGCCTCCGCTTGCTGCAGCTAGAGAAAAGGCCATGCAGCGCCAAGACCCAGCACGGCCAAAAATAAATAAATAAGTACTTTTTAAAAAGAAGTGGATGTGGACAGATCTTTTAAAAAATTGAAGAAAAAAAGATTGAAAGCTGTTATTTAATATTATACAACAACCTAAATGGGAAAAGAATTTGAAAAAGACTAAATACATGTATGTGTGTGTCTTAGTCACAGTCATGTCTGACTCTTCATGACCCCATGGACTGTAGCCTGCCAGGTTCCTCTGTCCATGTGACCCAATGGACTGTAGCCTGCCAGGTTCCTTTGTCCACGGGATTCACCAGGCAAGAACACTGGAGTGGGTTGCCATGCCCTTCTCCAGGGGATTTTCCCAGCCCAGGGATTGAACCTAGGTCTCCTGCATTGCAGGCAGATTCT